GTAAGTTTTACTTCAGATTACATTCTGTGATTATCTGTAAGATGCCATAAAATAGTTTGTCAGTTACATATCTTTTCCAACAGAAATCCGTTAGGATGCAACTGATAAACACGCATGCAATCGAAATACACTCTGCATTTTGCTACAGTACCATCTGTGTTTCGTATCATCTGCAACCTTTGTGTGTACAATCACATTTAATGCTCTCAAACCTCCATCCAGATTGTTATTTAAGAAAAAAAAAAAAACCAAAACTGCATTGCAGGTGTATTTTAAAAACAATAAAAACAAAGCATATCAAGAGAGATTTTAGAGGTCAAAAGAATAAAGAATGGCTCTCTCTGGTCATACCAACAGCCCAGGATACCACTTTTAATCCCAGTCAAACAGGCAGCTCCATGGGAATAGAAGAAAAACAGAAGAATAAGCATCAGAAAATATTCCCAATCTCCAGTAAAAGCAGCAGCACCTCTGAGTACCAGCACCCTAGGACTTCTCTTCCACGACCTCATCTAAACACTTTTTGACCAAAGAACACTTCAGCAGCCACAATCTCACTCTACATAAAGGGCTACCAAAAAGCTGTCTTTTTTTTAATACTTTGGATTTTGTACCACACTTCCTTGATGTCAGCTGAGGCACAATGATTCTTTCTTCATAACGTGAAAATAATGACCATTCTGCAACCCTCATCCCTTATTTCACTTCCAATTCACCATTAAGGAAACACGCTTGCAAAAAGCAAGGTGATGTCTATGCTATCTGAATAACCACCCCTTCAAGAACAAAATACTCCTAACATTTCCATTCTATTGCTCAACTAAGTAACAAAAGCAAAACCTGGTTCAATGCAGACTAGTGTTTCAGCAATTGCTCACTGCTATGATTTGTAAATGCTTTGAAAGATGCAAACACAGCACATACTCTGAAAACTTTCTCATCTAGTTCACCATATTTAAACATTTACGTATGCTTACATGTCTACAATCTTACCTAAAGGGCCTAATCATAAAATTCCTTTAATGATCTGAATTCTACCCCCCAGAAAAAAAAAAAAAAAGCCACATTCAAGGATTACCTTTTCATTAAATATATGCTAAAAATACAAAACATTAAATAATAGAATGCTCCTGTAATATCAATAAATAGTTGGGAAAAAAAAAAAAAAAGCACTTGTAAAATTAGATGAACTAGGAACCAGATGTTACTGATGCTGTCACTTTATATTACAGAAAATGCACTAACAACCATATCAATTTTTAGCACTCGAGTTAGAAGAATAGAAGGATGCATGTTGAGCATACTGAAATTGGACACATTCTGAGAATTGATGTTTCTTATTCTCACTGTTAAAAACCACCTGGAAGTAGCAACTGCTAAGTTTCCCTCAATGTATCTTAGCATGATTTTAAAGCACAGATACTACCATCTTCTAGTTCAGAAGTTTGAAGAAAGTGCCCAATTAACCTAATTAACAACTAAGATCTGGATGCCATTTCAGTGTCTCAGCCTTCAAGCTTACAAAGGAAGGGAAATTGCCTGGTTTTCCTTGGGTACCTGAAAAGTTGCAGGATGATCCTATGAAACTCCTTCTTGGCACAATATTGTTACTTCCCATAAGTTTCTGTAGTGCAACTCCAAAGTACTTTCCCTACAATTTTTGATATATATATTTTTTTTAATGCAACTATGAAGCCACCTACATATTCAACACAAAACTTGTTTCCTTTAGGAGGTAACACCCAACCACAACGGTTTGCTTTAACTCCTCTAAGCATGTTAGACAAACGTATTAGACAACATGAACTGCATGTATCTCAGTATAACAACAACCCAACTTGAAGGTCATTACACTCACAGATTGAAATTTCAGCTGTGATTGCACAATATTGTTACACTGAGAATCATCCTCTTTTTAGTTTGCAGAACAGATTCAGCCTATTCAAGAGCTCAAAATACCAAGCGAGACCAGATATTTCCTTCCTATGCAACAGTGAGGAAACACTAATAAAGTTACTGTGGCAGTCAGTATTGTAAGTGAAGGGAAAAGTACACTACAGTTTAAATATTAAAATCCAAGTATTTGACTTTTCTATACTTGATGCTGACTGGCACACAGATTTGGAAATAATTAGTGTTCATCACTGACAAAGGCAGAATAGCCATATACCTGAACAATTTAAGAAAACAGTGAAAAACTAATAACATGTGAGGTTCAGAGTCTGACACACACATGGACTAGCATGCTGGTACAGAACTTCTTCAGATCCAAAGGACCAAAGCTCAGTTATTATAGCTGTGGCATAAACCTCAAGATGATGAAGCAACTTGCAATTGAAATTAATTCTAAAGATATGTCCCATACACAAGTACTATAAGGGATCAAGAAGTTCACTACAAGATCCAAGAACGAAAAACAAACAAAAGCTTATGGCAGACCGTATGCCCATCTGCCTTGCCCCCATTTGTAAAGAGGGCTCTTTTCACCTAAACCATGCAGGGGAAAACAAACAGAGGTGGGAAAATCACTCAATAGTTCCCATAAGTTTCATACTCTGGAGAAAAATCTCATTCATTGGAAAAATCTTCAGTTCAGAACAGGAAAATAAAATGACAAAATTTTGCTAAGTCATTTGGTTTTCCACATACTTTTCATAAAGTATCACTTGTGAAGTTATCAAGTTAACTTAGGAAGGAACCTTTAATTACTAAAGAAGGAAGAAACTACCTGCACGGGTGACAGCTGCACCTAAGAAATTTAATTCTCATGCTTCTTGCTTCCATATTAATTGCTACTGTCATGCTACCAAATTTTTTTCCTATTCAACTCAGGAAGCTGCATTCACAGATGAACAACAATCACAGTGGCTTCAAAGGGCAAAACAGTTGTTTGGGGTTCAAGATGTCAGGGCTTTATTAGTCACAGAATAAACTGTGACTTTATTACTTGAGTTGCAAGACCAATAAGTAATTATATGCTATAAACATACACACACACACGTACATACAAAACCATAGGACTGGTTTCCATACACGTCTTCCAAAAATATTCTCAACACAGTTTTGTATTGAACTTAATCACTATAAAGGTTGATATCTAATGTGCAAAGAGAACACACTCTCCCTGCCTCATTCCTAACCGCATTTCCATCCTGGGCTTCTACAGTTAGCAAAAAAAAATAAAAAATTCTCCTCATGCATACACACTTGGCAGTGAGCATGCCTCCTGCTTCCCATGAGCTAATACACACACACACACACACACACACACACACACACACACACACACACA